CTGCACAACAGGTTTTGGGGCTCCGGCAGTCCTAAGGTAAGTGGTGTGGGGCATGTGGGGCAGCTCCACCCTGCCACCCCCGCCCTGGCTTGATTTTTATGCCTGCGCCTCACCCCACCTTGTACAACCAGATGGTGGGCGGGGCTTAACTAGGACTTATTTTGGGGCTAACTCGGGCTTATTTTAGGCACAGGCATGAAAATCGGGCTAGGATTTGTTTTTGAGGTAACATGGTATTACTATTGGTACTATTTGGAAACATGGTATTTGGTACTGTTTAGAAATCTTTACTCTTTTTAACCACAATTCTACTTCTATTTGCAGATCTTTGTAGTTTGTGATTTTTTCTCCAGTTCTTTCTTTTATATTCTGCTGTCTTATTATTATGAGTACTTGCTATCAGACTTAAATAGTCTCTTCAAAATGAACGTATCTTATTGTTAAATATTCAGGTGAATTGTATGTTAAGTGGAGTCTGATGTCAGACTCCACTCATTGGTCCAGCCACTGGTGGGAAGAACGAAGCTCTGTCAGTGGCTGGAATATTGGACTGTGCCGGCTATATAAAGCCGGTGATGGCTGTGGCTTGCTGCTTTTTGACCGTGCTTGAATAAAAGTTTCTCTGGAAACCCTGGGTCCTGCTCCTTCTTTTTTGCACCTCATCTAACACTTACATTAGAAGAAATTGTGTACATAAATAGCAACCAGAGTTGCTCCAAGGGTAAGCTGGGTGGCATATATATTGAATAAATAAATAAAAATATATACAAAGATGTTCAAGGGAGGAGAGGGAGGCAATAACGTTACAATAATGATGGGTGGGATGATGAGTGTTGGACATAGGCTGCTGGTTAGGGTATGTAGTCTTGGTATGTTCTTGGCCTCAGGGCTTGGTCATTGGATCTTCAGTAGCTCAGGCTTCTGATTGTTGTTATTAATACCAAGAAGCCCTGTTGTAATAAGGTTCCCCTGCTCCATGATCTGCTAATTGATGAAAGGTTTGACCTGGCATGTGCCCATTCAAGGTTTTAGCACTAGCCACAAATCTAAGACAAAACAAATTAGCTATTGTCATCTTGAAATCATGAAATTGTTTATGTTGTGTCTTGTAAAAACCAAAACAGGATCTATTTCCACAAGAGAAGTGATTTATAATTAATTCCAAAATCTTATAAGTTGAAATTGAAGCTGAATATTTTATTATAAAAGTTTCCAGTTTCATCTGGACTTAGTCTACTTACAACTTTTAAGATCAAAATTGTATTTAACTTTTTGTTATTTATTTCAGATTCATGAAATCTTTAAGCTTAAGTTTAATTTTCTTTTAGTTCAGGATTGAAGGCAAACTCATGTTCTCAAACTTGTAATTCCATAGGTCACTAATAGCTTAAAAGTAGTTAATGATCAATTTATGGTCATTATAATCTTCAAATAAGCTTTTGAAAGTAAGAGCTGTGAACTTAAAAATTTCTGCCATGGTTGCAACCAAGATTGCTGATTCCAATGTCTCCTAGAATTCAGACCCACAGAAAACTGCTGTCCTGTGGTCTCCTTATGAGGAGCAGCCATACAGAGCACATATGGGTGATCTCTCATTCTGTCTTTATCTGGGGAGATTCCATGGGTCTTTGCCACAGTTGTCAGCTCTACTTTTGCAGACCTATCTTCAGTTCACTATACCTCCCATAGAAGACAAATTAGCCATTGTCACCTGAAGATTCTGGTGGCTGTTATAGATGCTGCCCCACAATTCCTGAATATGAACCTATGTTGATATGTTGGGCTCTAAGGATTAGTTGGGATTGCTGTTACCGTAGCAGCCCTTCTTCTGCATTACAGATTCCTGCTTTAGCTGCTCGATGATTTAGCCAGATTCTCAATGAGGTTCAACAGACCTATGAAATTTAACAGCTTTAAAAGTTCTTCACTTCATGATGTTGATTGGGCTGACATAGATTAACATGGCCATTCCTCTGAGAGCTAAATTATTCATCATTACAAAGATACTTTTATTAGTAGCATCTGTATTTGACACTTGGTTCTTTCTTTGCTGGGACAAGAACTGGTGTCACACAGTATATACATTGGTATATGTTAAGAAGAAGAATAAATTACTTACAATTCTAAACCAAATTCTGAATTTGCTCCCATTCAATTTGACTATGTCAAACCTTCCCATGTGACAAATTATGTAAATTTCAGACCCCAAAAGGGAGGCCTTATCTCTGATCTTTGGAATATCGTTTCATTTTTGTGGTGCAATTTTTATGCTTTATACACTTAACTATCACTGATTAGCTGATTAGATGTCTTTGCTAGTTAATAATTTATTTCCTAGTACCTTAAGAAAGTAGTAACGGGGTTATATTAAATATTTCATCTGAAAATTATGATTGGGCAATCAAGGATATTGAGATCACTATCTCAATGAATGACCACTTCAGAATGATGTGAACCTTAAACAAAAATTATCTAAGAGTAGATAATGACAGTAACACATATTTCAAAATAATCTGATTTTGCTGTTCTTGCTGGATTGAATTGCTACAGATTAAAATGTCAATGTTGCAAGTCCTTTTTTATGACTCTTTATAGAACTTGTTTTAAACCTAAAATTGCCTATTTTAGGGAAAGTAAGTGTCTAGGAACACTGAACACTGATTGTGTTCAGATGGCTACAATTATATACAGAAATTTTAAACAATGGAAAAATCTGCAGTCAGTTCAAGATATCCCAAACCCTTGCCATCCTAAAACCCAGAAAAAAAACCACATGATGGTCCAGCAAGCTACTGCCCTATAGCTCTGTTGAACATTTGCTATAAACTTCTGGAACTATTACTTTATGTCAATGTATACATGTTGATAGAGTTGTCCCTTCTTTCCAGGCTGGGTTCTGCCTGGCTGCCAGAGAAGCTGCTGCAAAGCAAGTTCTGGCTCTTACTTCATTTATCAAAGCTGGTTTCCAAAAAGGACTGAACATTTTTGTGGCTTTTGTTGATTTGACTGTAGCAGCATATGACCTGTTGTGGCTTGATGGTTTGATGTTCAAGCTGAAGAAAATATTCTGTGTCTTAAAATGTCAAGCCTTCTGGAAAAACATGTTAAAATACTGATACTTTAAAAATCATTGTAGGAGATATCACTGGTAAATTCTTTTCTATTAAAAATGGCTTGCCACAGGGATCAGCTCTAGCCCCACTCCTATTTATTCTATGTTCTACCAGAAACCATCTCTGAAAATTTTTGCTATGCCAATGATATGCAATAGCTATCCAAACCAAGGATTTTGAGGAAGGAAAGAGGAAGTAAGATTGTAAGTGCAGTCATTGTTTAATGACTGAGTTGCCAGCGCCAATTATGGTTACTAAATGAAGTCTACATTTACCACAGGACTTGATTTGCTACTTCCATCTATTTTACCCACATTCTAAATCATTTTAAGAATTTAAAAATCATTAAATTTAACAATTTAAAGAATTGAAGAGTTAAAGCATGCTGGCTGAGGAATTCTGGGAGTTGAAGTCCACAAGTCTTAAACAGGCCAAGATTGGAGACCACTGAATTATTGCTTCCCTTTCATTCTATTGCCTGCATATTATTTTCCAGGAGGCTTTCTTAGTTCTCTAGAACACTTCAAAGTAAATGGAATTTTGTTTGTTTGTTTGAACCAGTCATAAAATTATCTGCTAATATAATGCACAATTGCAAAATCATTACAAATTATTGATATTCTCTCCAGGGGTGGCATTGACAGTTTTGGCCATGACATTAGCTGTATAAAGAAACCGCAGAAAAAAAGCTCATCATTTTATCATGCTCCCCAAACTGTTTATCTAACATAGTTGATTACTGCATAGTGAAGATGTTATCTTATCTGTGATAATATAGGTTGTGAATTGTAACTGAAAGATACCTAAGTCCAGTTGGGCAATTTGAAGACATCTGAACAGCCCAGGACCATAAATTTATGTAGCCTAAATATAGTCACCAGACTTCATTTTAGATTTGTGAAGTAATATTAAATTTGCAGCAGTAATAGGAAATTAAGAGGAATTAAGGCCTCTGTTCCCACTCTTCTCCAACTATCTACATCACGGGTGTCAAACTTGTGGCCTCACATTGCCATCACGTGACCTTTCATGACATTTTTCCCATTTGCAAAGCTGCGGTGGGCATAACCTGTGTGTGACGCATCCAGCCAAGTGGGCCACCAGTTTGACACCCCTGATCTACATAGATATGGTTGTTTGCATTTCTTAGATTTCTAACTCTTAAAATTCTTCAAGTATAATTCTTCAAACATGATGCTTAGATATTCCACTGCTGTTTATATTAAAATATTAGATAGGACATCTGTAAAATAGATTATGTAGTTATTGTGAAATCAGTCTTCTATTAAGGTAGGAGAGAGGTGGGGGGGACGTATGAACACATATGTTCGAGCAAACAGTCCATTGTTTCTCAGCTCCATGTGATTTGGTTTGATTGGCTTTCTATATTAAAATCACTTTCTGCCTCAGATCTATCTCCTACATTTCAGAACAGAAAAAGTAGGCCTCACATGATTAGGGTTAAAGGGAACTATAATCAATTGTTCCCAGAGTAAATAACCTGTCACCCATTATTTATATCTTTATCTTACTCGGTGAACAGTTTCCAAAGAGAACACATATTTAAAGGGGAATGAAGCGTTGTCCTTGCTTGAGCAGATATAAGGAATAAAAGGAAACATGACAAAAATCTTACAGTACAGAACATTCGCTACTTAAAATAAGTGTTGCTTCATTTAAACAGAGCACCATTTTCATTTTCATCCTTTCTCCTTACTAGTAATCATCTACGCTTTTTTTGTGTGTTGTCCATCCTATTCAGAGTAAAAAAGAGAACTTAGTAATCACAACTTTACTGAACAATACAGGCAATATTTTTAAGAGATAGGATTAAATATAATAGATTTCTTCTAATTATAATGAATTGTATACGTTGTGGTTATTTAAACTTATAAGATCACCTGACTGATTGCACTTTAGTCAGCCACATCAGTGTATGAATTGCTTTCAAGATAAGTAAGGATATAAATCACCCCTTCAGAAAGCTTTACTCTAGGTTGGATAGGAAACCTTCTTTTAGTTCTACGTTTTGTTATAATACCTAACAACCATGGCATTTGATGGCGTCTGGAAAGTAGAGAAGAGTGAAAACTATGACAAGTTCATGGAAATAATGGGTAAGATCTGTATTTTCTTGCTTAAGAAAAACAAATTGCTGATGTAATTCAAGATGCTTGCTACCAATCTCTGGCATTCTTCTTTATTATTCACTGGATTTTCATGTCAGCTTTTTTAAAAATTTTCCTTCCCTCAAAGACTTACTGGTTAACTTACATACTTTCAGGTTTGTACATTTCTTTCTGTGACAAACAGAAATGTTGACAAATGATTTTTTTTCTTCATGACTAAAACCACTTAAACCAAAGCCCACAAGGCATCCTCCTTTTTTTCCATGTTGGCTCTTCAAATCTTAGACATTTGATTTCCCTGCTTCCAAATATATACAATTCCAACCCTTACTTTCTTGTACACATCCACTCTATAAGGTTTTGCTTTCTTTCTCTTTTTTTCATATTTAATTTATAGCGTCATTCTGCTGTTTATTGGTAAGAAGTCATTGCTGACTTTCATTTTGTCAAAAGCTAGTTTTCTGAGACTCTCATAAACTTTCTGGCTTCCTAAGACTCTGAGACTCTCAGAATCTAACCTAAGTGGCTTTACATTCTACAAAATCTAATGTTAAGAAATCTTGTGATTTCTTAAACATCAACTGCACCCAGGGATCGGTATCAAAAAATGTAGGATTCTGGCAACTGTAGACTATGAACATAAAAATCAATGAAAGCATTAGTTTCTTTAGCAAGTTTCAGTTATCAATTCCTGCTCACATACCATCTCATAACCAGTCTGGGTAGATTCTGCTCTGGAATCTGGGCAAGATGGTATGCAGCAGATGGAGATGAGAGTCAGAAGTCCTCCAGCAAGATTTTTTATTTCATCCTCTGTTTGTAACATTCTCATTATTATTGTCTCAAACATGATATACGTTATTTCCCAGATTCTCCTCTAGTCTGTATTTCCTTTTTCAATGGAATTTATTATTTATTTTCATATGTGCTACTTCCCATTAGTTATTTGACTCTAGAATGATCAGTTTTCTATTGTTAACACATACTAATTGCACTGATGTCTAGTTTTCCCTTGGTAATTTCTTTAGTCTTTTTATTACAAAGGTAAGCTAAAGTAATTTTAATTAATTCTATACCCAGAGCTTCATCTTCTCCTTTTCTGTAATGTTATTTTCCAGTTCAGAAGTATCAGATCATGTATATTTAGCTAATCTGCGCAATTTGACCTTTGACAATATTCTGGCTTCTTTGCATCAAAAAGGATTTGACTATTGTTAAGTGGGGGGTTGGGTTTATGTGCTTATTCATCACTCATATTTTGCTTGATTTTGTGAACTCAGCTACTGGCAGATATGGAAAAGAGAAGGGATGCCACATTAGTAGTCCGAGATGTATATCATGTATAATTCCACATTGATTAAAATCCCTAAGAAACCATGAACAGATCCTGGTAAACTGGTTGTTTTAGCCTTTAAAACCAAAACCTAGACAAATAAGAAATACAGAGGACAGACTCAAATTGTCTAATTCTAGCCACCCCATTTAGACAATTTATTTAAAATAAGTATTTAAAAAGCATCTGTCTGCTGTGCAACTGACTCACACTCATGTTAACTTTCACAGGTATTAATATAGTGAAGAGGAAGCTTGGAGCCCATGACAACCTGAAGCTCACAATCAAACAAGAGGGAAACAAATTCACCATTCAAGAAAACAGTACCTTCCGCAACATAGAGATAGTGTTCACTTTGGGAGTGAATTTTGACTACAGTTTAGCTGATGGAACTGAACTCAATGTAAGAAAACTTTTTCTTCTTAGTATTATAGAGTTTTTCTGTTGATGTGGGCTACCATAACGCACCTCAATTACTGTTCTCATGGATAAATATTCCTGGTTTCCTTAATCTTTTCTCATAGGAGTTAGTTTCCGATCCCCTGGGTTAGCTGACAAGATGGTTGAGAGGCTATACAGCAAAGGGTTCCAAAACACACCCACTTTAATTATAACCAGTTACAAATATGTTCAACCATATCAAAAATCTTCCTTCCTCTCTTTTTTCCCCTCCTTCCTTCAGCTTCAATCATAACAATACAAGAGCACACAATAGATACAAACTCAAGGTTAACCGCACCAAACCTGACTGCAGAAAATACGACTTCAGCAACAGAGTGGTCAATGTTTGGAATACTCTACCTGACTCTGCGGTTTCTTCCCCAAACCCCAAAAACTTTAACCTTAGACTGTCTACTATTGACCTCACCCCCTTCCTAAGAGGCCTGTAGGAGGCGTGCATAAGCGCACCAATCGTGCCTACTGTCCCTGTCCTATTGTTTCTTTTTATTTTTCTTATAAGTATCTATCCCATGTATTCAAAACTATGTTTATTCTTATACCTGTATCTTGTAAGTAATTGAAAAATCAAATAAATACTAAATAAATACTAAAATATACATGCCGTGTACTGTAGGGGACCTGGGACTTGAAAGGAACCCAACTGGTAGGTTCATTCAACCGGAAGGATAATGGAAAGAAACTTGACGCACTGCGGGAAATTGTAGGAGACGAAATGATTCAGGTAAGTGTATCATAGATATTTTTTATATACAGTAATCAACAGCAATAGAAACGTATATTATCTTACCAAGGAACTGAGAAGATTTAACAAACAAAAAAAACCCCACTATTAAATATTTACTTGCAGTTGTAAGAAAAAAATAGTTGAGAAGCCAGTTATGGGGCTAAAGCAAAAGAAAAGAAAATCAGATCACAACCCGAAATAATAACCCCTTCTTAAATTCAAAACATGAAAAACCAATTGTAAAATGTTTGAAAATATATTAATCATAAGTGGGGCCTTGTCGTGAACCCTGGCCACATGCAGTGCTCCTTGCAGGATTCTATTCCACAATCTGGTTTTGCCTACATTTGCTTTCTCCAATGGTCTCATCTCTGCCTCTTTGCTAATATGGGCCCTACCACAATAAACAATGTCCTGATCCAAGTGCTTCTTGGGTTTTACTGTAGCCCAGCTTGGGAATGAACTTAACTTCTGAGACAATTTAATTAATAATTCCAGGAGCATTTCTCTTTCTGGATGCAGTGGCTGTATTGTTGAGTAAATACTAGGATTAATCAAAATTGTTCAAACAGGACTATGTGTCATCTATTTTGGGGTCATTATTTAACAATAAATATTTGATATTAGCCTATTTATGCCACTTTAAAAAGAGCTGGTTTCTGGAATATAGAATTAAACTATTTCTGGGAAAATAAGCACTGTAAATCCAGAAAAATATTGCTGATATTCTGACCTGTTTTACTTATTTTAAAAATAATATCTTTTCAGACTTATACCTATGAAGGAGTAATAGCCAAAAGATTCTTCAAGAAAGCATAAACAACTATTGCTGAAGACTGAAAACTATCAGAAGATCACTTGTGTTTTCTTTATGTTTTCTTAACCAAATACAAAGTAGCTAAATACTAATATTCACTTAAGATATATTTATCTTTTATGCACCATGATTATTTAGCTAAACAGTGTTGCTGAGTATCAATATTAAATTTACTTTTTATAAATGGAAAAAAATAAACCTTATTTCTATTCCATATTCTAGAAGACATTGTCTTTCATTGTTGCTGTGACTAAGTGTGGATAATCGTTTATTTAACTGAATATTTAAAATAAATTATCACTCTTTTATAAAACACTTATAAGAATTATCTAGTCTGATCCAAATACCATACAAGTATGTTAGTTTTTTCAAATTCACTTAGTTCTATTTTTTTTTAATTTGCCATATTAGTTTTTATTTTTGTGATTTCTTAAAAAACAACAACTATTTTTATGTAGATTGGAAAGAACAAATTTTGTATACACCTTCTCACACACTTTCTCAAAATGTCACTTAATATAATGTATCCTAATTTCTGTCCTGTATTTTTTTTCATCTTCATCTGATATTGAAAAACTAAGAAAAACACAAATTTCTACTTAGGAAGAAATTCTTGGTTCAAGAAGTCCAAATTTAAAAATTACAGTACACATTAAAATACAACTATAAGAAACTCTATCTCATCTGTCTTGAAATTAATCTGCCTTTAAAATGAAGAACAAGCCCAGACAAATGTATTCGTTGACCAATTTTCCTTTAAAAAAAAAATTACTGTAGCATCTATTAATATGCAGATCTAACTCACCAGTATATAACCAAGCCTATTGCCCCCATATCATTTAACAAATAATATCCACATTAGACCACAACAGAGATTCAGTGTCGTGTGATTTTTAGTATTTGCCAGTGAAATCCTAATACAAATAATTAGAAAAGATGGAGAATTTCAGCTGGGGCCTTCTTGTTCAAAATTATTTGCTGTTAAATCAGCGTCAACTTTTAATTGTCACATAATTAGATTTTCTATAGCAGGCCTGTCAAACTCACGGCCCACAGGCTGGATGCCTCATGTGCTGGCCACACTCACGCCCAGTTTAGCAAAGAGGAAAAAAGACAATATGTCACGTGATACCGTCTTGACGATGCGAGTTTGACACCTCTGTTCTATAGGATTACAAATAGTCCTCAATTCATTGTTGACTGTTCAAAATTAAAATGAAAACATTGACTTATGACCGTTTTTCACACTTAACAATCCTTGCATGGTCCTGTGATCAAAATGTGGATGTCCTGTAACTTTCGTTATGATGGCTGTAACATCCAGGGGTTATGTGTTCACCTTTTGTGACCTTCTGACAAGCACAATCAATAGAGAAGCCAGATTCACTTAACAATTGCAGCAAGAAAGATTGTAAAATGAGGCAAAATTCATTTAACATCTATCTTGCTTAGCAAAGGCTATTTTGGGCTCGATCACATGTTGAGGTCTATCTATATTTTCAGCTTGATCTTTCAAATCTTTTTAGTCTATGCCTGCTATACTTGAGTCTACTATCTGTGACTGGCTATCCTGTTCTTTTTTCTTCCACTTTTCCCAACAACAGCGATTTGTCAAAGATTCTCAAAACATTATTTTTCATAAATGAGTTAAAATGCTTTAATTCGAAGAAATACATGCAAAACTGTTCATAGACACAGCATTGGCTCCACCTGTTGATAACCTTAGCTGGAACCAGGATGATGGTAGTACACCCATTTTTGTGCTCCTTGAAGCTCCCAACGGTCAAAGCTCTTTGACAGTTTTTGATACTATCAATCAAACTATCCTTCTGAACCAACCGCAAAATTTGGTAGGAGGCACTGTACTATTGTTGCAGAAAATTAAGAGACTCAGACCTTGGACTCCAAAAATAAATTGGTTTTATTTGCGCAAACAGGTTCAGAATATTTAGTGAGAGTCACTTCCGAACAAATTTCTTACAGAACAGCACATGCCTATATACTTCTTCAGAAGGGGCAAAACACAGAAATATAACTTGTCAGTCATTCATTGGTTACTTGAAACACAGCTTTTCCCGTCCCGTTGCTAGACTAGGATGGCTAGATGTCACAAACCCATCTTGCTAAACTCCCTAGCTTGTGGTTTTGTTACAAGCGAGACAAGGTTTCTGGGCAAATATGACTTTGTGACCGATAGATGAACCTTGTGGTTTGGCATTTGACATTTCCTTGTTCTTTCTTTTGCTAATACCACGTATTTCACCATCTATATATCTCTAAAATTAATATATTTTTAATGTCCTGCCTTACTATGGTTTATTTATTTATTAGATTTTTATCCTACCTTTACTATTCATAAGAAACTCAAGGCTGTGAATATACATAAGGCTCCATCCTCCCCTGCAATAACCCTATGAAGTGGGGTGGGCTGAAAATGGGAATACAGAATATGAGTTGCAGAATTTGGGAGGTCTTCTAATCTCTCCTCAAGTAGGAGACCATTCCAGGCAAATGACTGTCCACTTTCTTTTTTAAAATCTCCAGTGATGACCCACAACTTCTGGATATAAACCATTCCACTAATGTTTATCCTGCCTTCAGATGCTTTGGAGAATTGAAATCCCAACACGATTCAAAAGCAGATACGCAACTAAGGAGGGGACTGGAACTTAGTGTCCTTGTTTTTAGGCCAATACCTTTACCACTACACCACACTGATTCTCTTTCCTCTGTGGCTTGTTTCAATTTCTGTTGACAAAGGGAAGAGATGTGTTCCTCTGTTCCTCCCTGGGACCTGCCTCAGAGCTCAATGCCCCTTTTTCTTTTGCTATCCATTTGAAACCACTGGGTGAAGAGGTCATCCCTTAGTTGGGAGTCTTGTATCAATTGGTCAGCAGATGGTAGATGCGCTTGTATCCCTCCAGCATTCTGACTAGAGCAGGAGTCTCCAACCTTGGCAATTTTAAGACTTTATCTTACTAAAACTCCCAGAATTCCTCAGCCAGCAAAGCGAGTTGAAGTCCACAAGTCTTAAAGTTGCCAAGGTTGGAGACCCCCGGACTAGAGAACTCTGCTAATTCCGCACATCTTAAAAAGTTGCCAACTCTGGGGTGGAAAACTGTAAATTAACCTCTACGGCGAGAAAAACGATTGCTTCTTTTTCGAGCCTAAATGAAAACCACACAACTTTTCAAGAAATGTAAACTCCTTATTATCTCTATGCACCGCCGCGGGCATCCAAGCCCACTGCCATGTCCACCAGAGTTTCTACGCCGTACAGAAATCACCTTCGCAGGGGTCAACCGCAGGCTCCTCCCCCTGTCTCAACAGACATAAAATGGCTCCACCTCACCGGAAGTCTCTACCGGAAACATGACTACTGCGCCTCTCCTTTTTTTTTGTCTCTATGGTAGTAAATGTCCTATGTACGCCGGGCGCGGTTTCGCAGAATAAGTCATCCTTTTCCGTGTGGGGGGGACAATGGAGGCTGCGGAAGGCGTTGAGGTACGAGGCCGCCGAAAGGCTGAACGTGAACCGGACCGGCTCGCAGCCGAGGTGGCCGAAACAAGGCAGAACATCTCCTGCGGGCCCCCTCTCTCCGGGACGTCCTACTGGCTGGACCTCTGGCTGATGATCCTCTTCGACCTCGTACTCTTCGTCTTCGTTTATCTACTCCCTTAGCGGCAGCATCGGAGGGGTGAGTCGAAAGTGGGGTGGGCGGCGGCGGCGGCGCAGGAAAACGAAGGAGACGCCTTGGGGACACGGGGGGAATAACGGAGTCCCAGGAGTTCAAGGTTTGAAGAGAAACCGGCAGGATGCCGTTTGAGCGCTTTGGAGTTTCGTATAAATAGAGTGAAGCCGGCGGTGGGGGCTTGGGATGTGCGGTCTCACATCTTTTGGGATGTGCGGACACGAATTGATGTTAAGTTGAAGAGCCTAATAAGTCTTAAACTGCCAAAACATTTTAATGTGGTGGATGATAAATTATGGAATTCACTATAGTTTTAATAGGAAAATGATCAAACAGAAAAGGAACACATTGCATAACACTTAAAGAAATACAACCAATGCATTTGCCTAAGTCCAGATGCTGTCAGGTTTGTATATATTGGGACAATGGTAATTTTTTTTTTGGCATTTGGCCTCAGTACACATTGAATTTGAAATGAAATGGTCAAGATGTGAGTAAAGTGGAAGCAGTCAGCTTTAATTCAAGAGATTTGACAAAAAGTGTGGCGTTTAACATTGAGGGATTACAGCCATTTTAACATTTAAAGATGGAACAAACTAACATCATTACAAATATAAACATTGTTTTTAATAGTTGGATGAAAATCCTTTGCAGTCAATGACTGCATGAAGTCTAGAACCCAAGACCATAACTACTGAGTTTCCTCATTTGAAATGCTTTGCCACACTTTTATTGCAGCTGCTTTTATCTGTTGCTTGTTTGCAGGTCTTGTCATTGTACCAACATGTACCAACCTCATTATAATTCCCTTTTCCTCAAGCTGGAGCAGGTAGTTCCCTTTCCTTTAATACCGATGCTTTTTGTGCTCCAAAATATTATCCTTCAACCCCAGGACCCAGTTTCCTTTCCCTTCTTGCTAAGAAGCAATTTAATTCTTAAGCATTTTGCCACTAAATAGTCCTGTTTCAGCAGTATGTGTAGCTCAGGGTTGAACTGTGGAGTTCTTGGTGCTCCATAAGCTTTTGTGTTTATCAGGCATGATATTCCCTCTGAAAAAAAAATCGGGGCCGGCCAAAAGAGACCCCCCCACCACGCGCCAAGAAATCGCTGCCCAGCTCCCTTTTCCTGCCGCTCAGCGGCCTCCGTTCGCACCGCCCGCCCGGGCTCCGCTCAGGTATCCTGCTGGGGCTGTCAGGAGTTGCTACCGCCAGCGCGGCTCCAGTCCCGCGTTGCCTCGGGAAGGGAAAGGCAAAACCAGGAGCCGCTGCTGCCATTGCCTTAATTTGGGGGGAGGGGCTTAATTTGATTTTATGCCTATAAAGCATGCTGGGACTTCCTATTGGGGGAGGCCGTATTGTTGGAGAAACACGGTAGAATTCTGATGCACATTATATTGGGTACAGGTTTTTTCACTGATTGATTTAATTTTTGTTTTCTTTATACTGCA